GTGAGTGTACATATGGAGTGTGTATGTGTGTGCATGTGAGTGTACATATAGACTCTCCATGTTTGCATGTTCATGTTGGGTGAATGTGTGTAGTGTGTGTATTCAAGGGTATACATTGAGACTATGCATGTGTGCACATGTGTGTGTGTGTGTGTGCATGTGTGTGGGTGTACATAGGGAGTGTGGAATGTGTGGATATCTTGTGTACTGCCTTGAGTGTGCACTGAGCGAGTCAGATCAGGGAAGATGTTTTAAGTCAAGGGAACACTGAGGGACCTTTGGGCTTTGGGCCTCCTTTCCACGTCTGTTCCTGAGTGTGAAAATGTACATGGAGCCTGCTAATGCCAGGCTTGGGACACTGCAGAGGCGTGTGCCAACTTCAGAGTTTTGTCCCTTGTTGGCCCCGGTTTCTCTGCTTACATCACTGCAACAAATAGCTTGACCTTCCGTCAGGCCCCTCCCACTGTGTCCTGAGCCATGAACTACCTGTGGCCTGATATGTAGGAGGGGACAGGGCCTGGACTAGCTGCTGCTAACCAGGTAAGGACCTCTCCCTCAGCCCAAAGTCCAGGTTGCACTATCACACAGGGAGGGAGCAAACTTGCCCACCTTCCCACCATCTGTGTCTCTAAGCTAACGGCACTTCAGTTTCCCTACCTGTAAAATGGAGAGAAGACAAAGAAGCTGACTCATGCTGGCCTCCTACCTCCTTCTCCCACTCATAGATGGTTGTGTGGGGACTTTACAGACTGGTACATGAAAAATACCAAGAGCATCCATCCATGTCACCTGTGACATAGTCTCATAGACTCTCATAGTCTCACAGGTGGTACAGGCTACACCCTTAGGTTAAGTTCTGCCCTGTGCTACCTCAGGAGGATCAGTGTACCTGCTGTGTGCAAGGAGAAAAGCCCTTGTCCCCCCAGCTGGACTCAGTAGTGTGCCTGGGGTACAGAACACAATGTCCCTTCCATCTGTCTCCAAAGAGCAGTGTCTGGGGACAGAAAAAGGAGAGGGCCAAGCCCCCTGCAGCCCTGCCAGGCCACAGGGCCGGGGAGCAGGCTGCCGTCCAGCCACCCAGCACAGGCTGGCTAATTGCCGCCGTGAGGCCACTGCCCTGGACCGTGACATGGGCCCCTGACAGATGTGATTTATGAAGGCCCTCGGCAAAGCGGAACCCACTCAATGGCCTATTACCTCACTTAGCAGACACCTTGTCACCGCCCGAGAGCCGGGTGTTAAAAATACAAGCCAGGCAGCCGCTGGCCGTGCGCAGTCTCCACCTGCTGTGTGCCAGATAACGGCCCAGGGCTGCCACAGTCCTGCCCAGCTGGGCTCTGAAGATGCCCAGGTCCTCACAGATGTCATCAGCCTGGGTTCCATCAGCAGAGAGTGGGAACAGAGACGAGGTTCCCGAGTCTGACTGTCGGAACCATGGCTGCCATCCCTATGGAGACCAGGCAGCTGAGGCCTATCCAGTGGATGAGAACCAGGTTTCCACACCCAGAGCCCAGCTGGCTCTGCCAGGCCTTGTCTCACTTTTGCTTCTGTGAAGCTACAAGATGATCCTGGGACCACTGTGAAACCCTCTGGTTGGAGTTCTACAGGTCTATCCCTCCCTGCCCCAAGGGATAGGTTCCAGGGATCACCCTCTGTAGTAATTAATCTAAGCCGTGGCTTCCGAGGCTGGCAGTTCCTGGGAGTTTGCATCCTGTTCCATGGACTTGAAAAGGCCGGATTCAAACCTAAACCACGAAGACCTCATCCTAAAGTCAGTGACTGGAGCATGCTCAGTGCTGGGCTTAACACAGCCTTGGGAAAGGTCTGTCTACCTCCTGTTTCTGAGTCCAAGCGCATGTATGTATCTATGTGTTGATGCCTGCGTGCGTGTCCGTGCATCCACGCATCCACAGAGGTTTGCAAACAATTGAGGATCAATCCTGAGCATTGATTGAGGCCCGGCCCCATCTTCAGCCGATAGTTTCTGTCTCAGTACTGCTGACATTGGGCTCTGTGTCCCAGCCGTACCTTCTGGGAGGAGCAGGAGGTATCTGCCTGCAGGTCCATGGGCACCAGGCTGGGTAGCCTTCACCCCTGAGCATGGAGGTCAGCAGGTTAGCTCGCACCTCCATCCATCACTCACTGACAGGGTCACAATAGTTTCCATAGATGGCCGTGCTCCCCGGAGCTCATAGTCATCTGGGGAAGTCAGGAGGTGGCAGAAACTGTGGGGATCCAGAGGAGGTTACTACCCACCCTCTGGCCTTGACAGGCCTCCTAAGGATGACTCATCAGTGGAGACAGAGTAGGTGGGAGCCATCCAGGACAGAGAGGTGTCAGACTGGGAGGAGCCAGGTCACCTGGCTCATGGAATGCCTGGCCTCCATGGAATGTCTTTCCTGGATACTTCTGCTGGCTTCTCTGCCTTCTGCACTTCCTGTGATTCCTTCAGGCCTCAGTTTAAACCCCACCCTGGCTTCACACACGCACGCACACACGCACGCACACTGAGCCATAGGGCCCCCGGGGTCTTTCCTCTTTGCACATGTTCTCTTCCCTGCAGCCATATTGTATTACCTAATCCCAGCCCCATGAAAGGGCTGAGTAAATGTCTGTGGGCTGACTTAGACTGAGTGAAGACAGAAAAACCCGCCCATTTGGAAAGAGAAAGCCCTCACCAACTCAGGGTGACTGGCCCTTGATGGAGGACTGCGGCTAACTAACCCTGACGCCGCTGTGTGTGTCTCTGGGCTGCAGCAGAGAGGCCTGAATTCATCTCACCTCTGCCCCTTCCTCAGCCTCTCTGTGGGACCCGTCTATACAGTGAGATCTCCTGAAGAGCTAAATGCTGTGGTGCAGTGAGCATCATTTGTAGGCTCCCTAGTCTGGGAGATGTTGCCTCTCTACTCCTCAGGATGTTGTCTCGGGGTCAGAAGATACCTAGTGGTCATCATCATCATGCAGGGAGTTGGTCAGATAGAAGCTTCCTGTGTGCTGGCCGTGTAGCCACTAACATTTCTGAGCTATTCCCCATCTTCCTTTGTCTCCTCCTCCTCTTCTTCCTCTTCTTCCTCCTCCTCATCTTCCTCTTCCTCCTCCTCTTCTTCCTCTTCCTCCTCCTCTTCTTCCTCTTCCTCCTCCTCTTCTTCCTCTTCCTCCTCCTCTTCTTCCTCTTCCTCCTTTTCCTCTTCCTTCTCTTCCACCTATTCCTCCTCCTCTTCTTCTTCTCCCTCCTTTTCCTCTTCCTCCTCTTCCTCCTCTTCCTCCTCCTCTTTTTCCTCCTCTTCCTCTTCTTCCTCTTCCTCTTCCTCCTCTCCTCCTCCTCTTCTTCCTCTTCCTCCTATTCCTCCTCTTTCTCCTCTTCCTCCTCTTTTCCTCCTCTTCTTCCTCTTCCTCCTCTTCCTCCTCCTCTTCTTCCTCCTCCTCTTTCTCCTCTTCCTCCTCCTCCTTTTCTTCTCCTCCTCTTCCTCCTCTTCTTCCTCTTTTCCTCCTCTTCTTCCTCTTCCTCCTCCTCTTCCTCCTCTTCCTCTTCCTCTTTTTCCTCCTCCTCATATGATAGGAGGCATCATCATTCCTATGCCCTGAGGAAATCTGTGCTAGAGTTCAGAATGTTTGAAGGGGTCATGGGATGGACTTGGGACCCTTTCTCCACCCCTCCACCTCATCTTGGGACCCAGGATGCTTTGTTCCTTCCCTGAGCTGGGTGGGTGGCAGGTGGGTGTCTCTGCCCCTGGGGGTGCCATATAGCCTAAGTCCAGAGACTGCACAGTGAACAGAGACTGTGGCCCTGCCTGGGAAGTCAGCCTTACTAGACCTGCAGAATCCCATAAAAGGCCCTGTTTCAGAGATGACCCAGAAGTTTGGGGTGAAGAGTCTCACCCAGATCCATGGAGCCTCTGCCTGAATCCTGGAGCTACAATAGAGCTTAGAATCTACACTAAAAGGAGGCTCAACTGAGGTTGCTCAGCAAGGTCATACATTCATTCAGCTAACATTCCCAGCCTTTTTAGAGGCGTGAGGAGAGATAACATCATGTGACCATCACCTCCTGGGCCCCATACTTCAAGTTCATTTTATTAGGACTTATGGTTCTGGGGTAGACAACTGGGAACACTCACAGCCAAAGCAGTAATGCACAGTGGAGGAGGAGGAGGAGGAGGAGGAGGAGGAGGAAGAGGAGGAGGAGGAGGAGGAAGAAGAAGAGGAGGAGGAGGAAGAAGAAGAAGAGAAGGAAGAGGAAGAGGAGGAAGAGGAGGAGGAAGAGGAGGAAAAGGAGGAAGAGGGGGAGGAGGAAGAGGAGGAGGAGGAAGTGTAGGAGGAAGAGGGGGAAGAGGGGGAAGAAAGGGGAGGAGGAGGAAGGGGAGGAGGAGAAAGGGAAGGAGGAGGAAGGGGAGGAAGAAGAGGAAGAAGAGGAGGAAGAGGAGGAGGAAGAGGAGAAATGAGCTCTAGGGAAGGGAGGGAAGGAAGTACCATATGTACAGAAATCTAGGGGCCAGGAATTCCCAGGAACCCGGCACCACAAAAGGCCAATATTACAGACAGGTGCAGAGGAGAGGCCATATGCACCAAGCAGACAGCTTTGCTGGCACAGTCATACAGGTGCTCGACTGATCCATCACCTGGTCACTCGGCAGCTCCTGGTGTACTGTGGAGTTGTGTCCCAGGGAAGGCTCTGAGCCTCTGGGATGCACCGTGGTGTGGCTAAGCTGAGGTAATCCAGCCTCTGTCCCAGTCAAGAGGGAAAAAAGGCCCAGGGTTTTCCAGGTAGCTGGGCAGACACCGTCCACCTGTTTGTTTGTCTGCCCATCCATACAATTCATATGCCTATCTGTCCATCCATCTACTCAATTCATGATTTCACCCACCTTCATAACACAAAGAAACAGCTCAACCCAACCCCCAGGTTCACAGGCCAAAGTGGAATAAATTGCTTCAGATGTGTGTGAGGGTGTCTAAGCCCCCAGAGATTTGTGACATCTGACCTGAGCCCCCAGAACCAGTTTAGACCACTGCCTCCCAGGATGGAAGATAGACCCACCTGGAAGCCATCTTCAGGACTTCGTGCAGGGCTCCAGAGGAGCTGGCCAAGTCAGGTGGACACTGGAATCAGGGTACAGCTGATCTCAACTCTATTTTAGTTTCTGGTATGTCCCTGGAAGGCCTGGGGTGGGAGGCTGGGATTTTACGAGAGGGATTTGCAAGGCTATTTTCAGTAAGGATGGAGGCCCAGTGAGGCCCTCTCCAGTCCAGCAGGCATAGAGGCTCAGAAACCTAATCCTGGCCACCACCCACTCAGGAGCAGAGCCAAGCTGGCATGGGCTCCTGAACGGTTCCCAAGCAGAGCTCCAACTGATGAGGCTGGTGCCTGACCCATCCCACAGACAGGAACATCGAGGTTTGGAGAGGCCAAGGCTGGCATCGCAGCCCCGTTCTTCCCCAGGTCCCAGGACAAAAAGCTATTTCTGTTCCAAAGGCTGTCCCAGGCCTGGCCGGTGCCGCGCCAAGCCACCATTAATCAGAAATGGTGATACATCATGCTGCCGACAGGCAGAACAGTGGTAGGCGCCTGTGCGTGCCAGGCTCTGCTCCAAGCACAGCGCAGATTTCACCATCAACCTGTTTTCACCCTCCAGACCACCCAGAGAACAGGGCTGCGCCCATTGGACAGAAGAAATTCGGTCATCACGCCCCTGGGAGACACACAGAAGGCTTGAAGATTGGCAGTCCAGGGGCATTCCCTGCCCCTGAAAGTCCCATCTACTCTAACACAGTACCTTGTGACTGTGATCTGAGGATGACAAGATCCACGACACCTTGGGGAGCTTCACACTGAGATAGAAGTCACTCTGAACCAACTGAACTATAAAATAGGGCCATTAATAAAGCCTGGATTCAAATTCTACCCTGAGATTGGCTTGGCTGTAGCCTCCTGTGAGGTCACTGGCCTTTTTGAGCCTCGCTTTACCTTTCTGAGAAGTAGGAGCTTCTATTCTCACCCTATGTGCGCCCCAACAACAAACAAACAACAAAAACTATCTTCTCTGTGGTCAGATGAGGAATCTGGAGCCCAGAGGAAATGCTGTCACACAGGGAAGTCTCTAGCAAGGCTGAGGTTGAATGAGCACTTAGAAACTGTCCCAGTTCAAAGGACAGTTAAGGGGCAGGGGACTGGGTGTCTGCCTCCCGCACAGCCTTTCTCAAGAACAGAAATCAGGGGAGCAGGAATCCAGGGTGCAACCTGTAACAGCTGTGCAGCCTTGAGCTAATCACCAAACCTCTCTGAACCTGTCTTTTCTGGGCCTCAGGATGGGGACAGCCATAACCAGGGTTGTAAGAAGCCAGTAGAGGATTCCTGTAGAGTCACCTCTGTAAGAAGAAGGCACCAGCAGCTCAGGTGACAGCAAGAGATAAGTCAGGTTCCCCACTCCCAACCCTGTCTCACTCCTCACTCGTGTGTGTAATGGTTAAGGCGACGCCAATTTCCACTGTTCCATGTCACCCATAAGTCTGAAAAAGAGATCTTGCCAATAAGGGGGTCAAAGTAAGGTCCCCAGGACGTGAGCAAGGGAAAGTGCAGGGCTGGCTCCTTCGGACCAGTGAGAACAGGACCACTGAGCACACACCGAGAAGAAAGGCCCAGTGAAGGAGCCCGCGCAGCTGCAGCCCCGTGTGGAAAGGGAAGCTCTTCCCTGCGCAGGCTTGCAGGAGTGAGCGAGTGTTTTCTCTGCCCGTCCCATTAATCTGTTTGCTGTGTCCTGTTCCCGCCCTCCCACCTCCTGTGCCTATTCATCCCGGGCTCACTCCCTCTCCTGAGGGCTCCACGGGTCATTAAAACCGAAACAAGCCCAGCTCTGATGGTTAAACCAGATGCCAGGCGCGTCCTGCCCGCCCCTCTCGGGGTCAGACCGTGGGGGGCCTAGGTTCCCAAGGGGGACGGGCCAGACGAGGGGAAACCCAACCCGAGACACATGGAGATCATTTGCCAGAAGAATGGGATCCGTGACCAGCTCCAGCAGAGGGCAAGGAGGGAGAGAGGGGGTAAGGGCAGTGGGGCCAGGCCAAACTGGGCGCCACCCTGTGCTGAGGCTGGCTCAGCCCAGTGCAGGCTTGTTCCCTCCCCCATCTCACCAACTCGGCCAGGCCCTCCAGGCCCTCCGGGCCCCCTGTGTCCTCTCCAGTGTGCCAAGGACTGAAAGAAAGCATTTGCAGCCTCTGACCCCGAGCAGCTCACAGCCCTCAACAGATAGCTGATACATAAAAGATGAAAACCAAGGCTCAGAGAAGTCATGTGACTTTCCAAAAGACACACAGCAAATCAGCAGAGGCATCAGTCAGGAATTTCCCAGAAGGCTCGGGGTAGCTTGCTCACCGAGAAGGGATGTAGTGACCTGATCCCCATTTGCCAAACTGGTCATGCTTTACCTTCATGCCCCCCTAAGGTAGGTTTCCTGCCCATGGCTGGCTCCTATTTGTTTGTCTGTTAATTTAACAACAGTCATGTTCAATACATGCAACTCAGGCCCTGTAAGTTCACCCATCCAAGCTGGATGGTGGTTCTGTTACATTGTATCATTTTTTAAAATCTTTGGTAGATACTAAGTATAATATTTTCCATTTGAAATTCCCCTCACTGTTTAGCCCAGCCTGACCTTAGACACACAGCACTCCTCCTGTCTCAACCTCTACACCTGATAGTTTTGGAGCTTATTTGGTGACATCTCAGTGGCATCAATACACTCCTGACAGCACGCAATGCTCACCTTCAAGTGGCCCACACTGGCCCTCTGCCCTTTTTCCCTCTGTGGCTGCTTCAGACCCCACTTTCTGTACATGAACCTGCAGCAGATGGGTACCAGGTGACTGACCCTTTCAACTGTCATGACCAACATGGTTAAGGCACAGTTGCTCGCAGCCTTTCTAACCCCCTTTGGAGGGAAACCATGAGGTCATATGACAAATCTATACTGGGTGTCCTTACCATCCCTGAACCATGGCTCAGCCTGCATGAGGGGGTGGGGACCAGCCCCATCATCTCTTGCTTGGACACCTCACTGCCCACTGCCTCTGCCTCAGCTCTTCCACTGGCTCATCCAAGCCACCAAGCCACCATCTCCAAATTCTATCACCCCTGCCTGCCTAGACCCACATTGCTCTCTGAAGACATTTCTTAGGCAACATAGTCACAGTGGAATTGCTTATGTCCCCTGTGTCTGCCTCTGTCCCCCTCCCACAACCCCTCCCACACATGCTATCGGCTGAGTTATCTGATCCCGTGGTGCTTTGGGACTGGAAATTGTATCTAATGTATATCTCCCCAGGGTCCTGAGCACAAGAGGTCCTCTATAAATAAATATCCCTTGTTGAAAAAAGAAATTGAGGGTCAAAGAACTGGCCTGTCTGAGGATGCATGCACAGTCAGATGCAGAGTTACTGGAAGTGGTTCTGTCTGCAGAAACAAGTCAGCAAGGTGCCCAACAGGTGCTCACCACACAACACTATCAGACTGCCTTGGAGTTAGCTCAAATCCTGCCTCTAGCTTGCTGGACCTCTCAAGGCTGTTGTCCTCTCTGAGCCTTGATTACCGCAGTCTTAAAAGGCATGATCCCTGGTCTCTGCTTGGTGGAATTTGGTAGTTATTTGCCTCCCATTTCCCCTTCCTAAGATCCCTTGTCCCAGCTGGCTCCTCCTGCCCGCAGGTAATTAGATGGACACAGTGGGGGTTGCAGGCAGGGAAAGCCACCGCTGGCAGCTCTTTCCCCTGAAAGGGGCCCTTCAGCCCCTCAGGCCCAGCTCCGTATCAGGAACAAAGGCCTTGTGGACATTCAAAGCAAAGCTCTGGGCTGGAGGCCAGAGTGGGCGGCCACAGAGATGGCCACGGGGCTCGTGGCACGATGGCCAGTGACTGGAAGCTGTCCCTATCCATCAGTCAGCGGTGACAGCTCCTGGGGTCTTGCAGCCCCCCTATGGTCCAGCCAGCTGACCCTCCTCCTTCCCTGCCTCGTGGCCCCAGCCAGTGACCTGAATAGCAGATCCTTGTGAGCAGTGACAAGTCTCTGCTCCGGGCTTCTGTTCCTTCCCTGCTGCATCCCAAACACAGAGAGAAATGAGACAGACACCCATACCACACTTACCCTGCTGGGGAACTGAGTCCTAGGAGTCCAGCAGATGGAAGGGATTTGGCTTAGTCTACAGATAACCCACTGAGTGACCAGGGCATGCCTTGGTTCTTATCTGGGCCTCATCCCCAACAGATATGCATATGCACAACATACACAAACACACATGCACATACACATACACATGCTACACACACATGCAGAGGCACATACACACATACACATATATGCACACACATGCACAACACACATGTGTACACACATGTATGTACACATACACATGACACACATACACACACAACACATACATTCATAAGCATACATATACTTACACACATTCACATACACACATGAACATGCATACATACAACATACATACACACATACATGCAACACACACATGCACACACATGCACACATAACACTTACATTCATGCACACACATACACTTACACACATTCAATACACACACATGCACACATACACACACATATACACACATGTAACACACACATGCACATACACTTACACACACACATAAAACACACATGCACATATACTTACACACACATGCAACACACATGCACATACACTTACACACACATGCAACACACACATGCACATACACTTACAGACACACATGAAACACACATGCACATATACTTACACACACATGCAACACACATGCACATATACTTACACACACACGCAACACACACATGCACATATACACACATGCAACACAAATGCACATACACTTATACACACACACACCACTTTGAGGTTGGATTGTCATCTCCAAGCCTTTGTGGATCTGGTGATGTTGGTGTATTTGATGTACCACAGAGACATGGTGCTGATGGGACTGCCTGGTTTCAGATCTGCCTCTGTTTACCCTTGCTGTGGTCCCCTGACAAGTTACCAAATGTCTCTGTGCTGTGTCCCCCTGCTAGCCTGTAAAAGCAAAGTGGGAAATAGGGTTGGCATAAGAGAAGCCTTCTAGGCAGAGGAAACAGTTGGGGGGGGGTGGATGCTCAGAGACCAGACCTCATTGAAAGCACCTCAGGCATGTGGTGGAAGCCACTCTGCCTATAGCAGGACAGGGAGGGAACCAGACCATGGCTGTGAACCTAAGCTCAAACTGGCTTTTTGCTCACAGAGTGGCTTCTCTCTGGTAGGCCAGAGACTGAGACAGGAGAGTGATACCATCGTCTGCCTCTTAGAGGGAAAGAAGGGCCAAAGTATGAACCTAGAATGTTCCAGAGAGGAAGGAAACCCAGATCTGGGCACCATGTCACCCACCGTCACCGTGGGGCCGTGTGGGAGCCGTTCGGCAGCTGTTATTGGCTTCCTGTCAGCAGGTGCTTTTCCTTTAGAAAGCATGGAAGCCAGGGGTGTCAACTGGTCTAGGAGTTCCTACAGCCTGGGTGGTAAAGGGGAAAAGCCCAGCTACACGCCCGTCACTGGGAAGATGACCCAATGTGTAGTGACATATCCGTGCTGTGGAATAGCCCGTCGCCGTGGCCTTGTGTCAACTGGAGCATCACGTATCAACAAGGATCAGGCTCAAAGAAGGACTTTGAGCCAAAAACATACCCACAGGACATGCATCCGGGAGGAGCATGCCTACAGAACACTTCGATACAGTCTAGCCACGCCCCCATATCCTGAGCATGGAGGAGACGGGCAGTGTAGGAAGGATAAAGCCAAGGCAGGATGGTAGCCACCAGAATGCCTGCTCGTCTTCCCTTTATTCCTACTGTGGTCCTCACATACCCAGGGCTGC